GTTTGTCTTTTTTAATAACTGATTGCAAAATCATAAGCTCTTCCCGAGCAGATTCGTCCCACACATCGGCAGGCTATTACTCTCCAGTCACGTAATTTCCTGTTCATGCACACTTTTCCCTCCCCCACACCATTAAGGAAAGAATAGTATCAAAAATTAACAAAGTTAGCAATACATGCACTCTACAACAATCTCATTATTGCTACTTAAAAGAGGCTTGAAAATTCTCAAGTCTTAATGAAACAACCTAAAATTTGTTTGCCATTTTTAAATGATGAAGAGAATTCTATTCTAAACTACTGAGAGAGGTTTGCCCCTCGAGTACCATCTGCTGTCATATTCGAAAATGTCTTGCATCACTGTTGTGTTTTCTTCTTTGCATGGAACAAGAGTGTCCTCATATATCTGTTAGCAACTGAAATGTTTTTAACTTCCTTTTTTTGTTTTTATTTTCCAGGTGGGCATGTGGAGTGATCATGTACACTTTGTAAGTATTTTTAAGAAAAATTATTAATTTTGATTTGTCATATAGTTCTGTATCTTTACAAATAATATGTATCATCTTTTATATGTCACTGAAATGTCAAAATAGCAAATCAAATTAAATTTTGACAGGAAATACATGTACATGTAGGTTGAAAAATTAGACTCAGCCCCTCAACTTCTAGATGTGATTAACATGTCACTTCTCCTTGTAATATCCACACATTATCCAGTAAACAAGTCATGAGAATACTCAAACTTGATATCTACAATCAGATCCTGGGAGTTAAAGGGTTACATGAACAAAGGTGATGCTCATTGTGACATCACTTCATTTTGACAGGCTTGTGGGCTGCCCTCCCTTCTGGCATCGCCGACAAGTTACCATGCTGCGGTCAATAATGGAGGGAAGATACCATTTTCACAGTCCAGAATGGGACGACATTTCTGAGTCAGCCAAAAATTTGGTGAGTTCCAGTGTACCAGAGAAAATATAATTTAAAGGAGCTGTGTCACGTTATTAATTTGGGTAATTCTGGGCGTGAAATTGCGCCTAATACAGGCGCCAATGCAACTAAATTTTCACTTTGGCGACCAAATCCTGAAAATTTTCGCTGAAGAATGCTTCATCATATCCTTACTTAGAGATATAGAGAATTAAAAAGATCAGAAAAAGTAAATCCGCGGTAAACTTACTCGTTAAGGTCGTTTCCAAAACGCAGCACATGCATCTCGATCGATAACTAGACGTCATCTTGGATTTAGGTGAACGTTGTATGTCATCCATTCTAGTGTCCACGTTGTAGCATGTTAAAGATCTTTTTCCTGATTTAATTTTGAAGGGTCTATCTAGAACGCTGACAGCATTAAAAAAAAGGCTTTGTCTTTCTTTATAAATGGCGACCAACTTTTTTGAATTGGCTACCACCAAGTGGCTATCGGAAAAGAAAAAATTAATTTCACGCGCTGTAATTCATATTTCTGTGATCTGCAAAGTTACAGTAGCACCACTTAGAAAAAGACTACCAGGTAGAAACTTGGAAATATAGATAAACAGAAAGTAATGGTGAACCAAGAGGGAACACAGAGGACTAAGGATGAAGAAAATAGCAACTGATTGTATGAAAACAAACTTGAGAATTTTTTAAATACTGTAGCAAACGTGGTTTCTTTTCTTTTCCAGATTTCAAAGCTTCTAGTTGTTCATCCTAAAGGAAGATTAACTGCAGAGCAAGCTCTAGAACATGCCTGGTTCCAAGGAGCTCAGGTTTGTTATTTTAGACTGTCATCGTGAACGGAAACTTTGCTTTAATATGTACGATGTATTGATTGCCTACCCTGTGCTATTTATTACTATATATTCATATTTTTATTTAATATACTTATCTGTATCTGTATTTTAAATTTGCAGCAGGCGAAAAATGATGGATTTTCTGCAAGGTGGAAATTCAAGGTAGCTCCAATTCCTTTTTGATAATTAAACATATTAATAATTGGTGCTTTCATGTAGTAGTCAATACAGGTTCCCGATAAATATATGGAGTATTAATGTAGAGTTCGTCTGTCAAAAATATAATTGGAAACTATTCTGGAGTATTAATGTAGAGTTCGTCTGTCAAAAATATAATTGCAAACTATACTTAGAGCACAGCTTCGGGAAAAGGGAAAGTGTCCCAGGCAAGAGGTGTCGCTTTTACAGAGGTAACAGAATTAAAGGTTGTTCCGTCAGGACCTCAGATTTTTTCCCTTGAATCGATGTGTCCCCAGAAAAGGACTAGCCACGGTGAATTTTACCATTTATTTAAAGGTCTGTGAATACTTTGCTAATTTACTCACAAATCAATGTTTATTTGTTATTAGGGAACCGTGATTGCCCTTATAGCGGTCAGAGAATTCTACAAGTTTGCAAAGAATAAACTTCAACCAGTGACATTTGATACGATTCTTCGGGAGCCTTATGGCGTGAAACCTTTGCGTAAAATGATCGATGGATGTGCGTTCAGGATTTACGGACATTGGGTTAAACGCAACAAGGACGAAAATCAAAACAGGGCTGCGCTATTTGAAAATAAACCTCACAAAGAGAGATACAATGGCAATGGAGATATGCCAAGGAAGATCAGTAACCTTGACACGTATAACGCGTCCTTTCGGATGTCATCTATGGGGTTGATTCAGTACAAATCCGTTAGAAAACTGAATCCGAGCAACTAAAGGAGAAGCTGCACAGAGAAGTTGTCGATGTTTTGTCCTTCTGTGGCTGAAGTAGCTGTTTGGAAGAAAAAATTGCTTCGTTCAGACTTAGCGTAACCAACGCCAAGCAGATGCAAGCAAACTCGGGCGTTTTCTTTTGCAACAGCCTGGGTTCCTTACTTTAAAGATGTAAATTTTCACGGGGTACTTTGTAAAGAGTTTTATTTCCGGTTGGTTAACAGACTCACGAATTATAGTGACCCTTGTGAAATATCTCAGGTAATGGTAAAAGAATGAGACCGCTTGACTTTGTCATAGCTTACCACGAAAATGGAAATGATGTCAACTAAGGAAAACAGAGAGCAGAAATTTTGATTCGCGCAATATTTGATGGTGGCATGAAAGTAAGTTACTAGGTGATGTCTAGTCACTGGAAGCCCTCGCCCCTACTCGTGAAGCCAACTCCCGCGTAACAAACAGTATTTTTCAGTATAAGAATATATACCGCATGGAGCTTTGTTTCAAAGGAGTATTGTTGCAAATTTCTGCATTTTCGAGTGCTTATGGCCAAGTGTTTCTCTGACCTCACTTCGCTGCATTGTAGCATTTAAGTTTTTCAGAACTTCTTCCCACTGGACAGCCTTGTCTTGATCTCAATCTACTCCTATTTAAATTTTTTCTTGTCTGAGGATAAAAGGCTGAGGGTTTGTATATTAGCTAAGTAGTATGGATCTAGAACGTAACACAGATCATAGTGACCTTGATGAAGGGAATGTTGGTTAACAGAAAATTCCACGGCACGTTTATTTACAAGTATTTATTTTCGTTCTTGAGAGTGTCGAGAGTGACCTCAAAGAGGCATTTATTTACTTAGTTCTTTCGTTGTAATTCAAGATGAATAAAAAATGAAGACTAACTGACCGGTTTTTATGCACTTTGGTTGTGGGGTCCTTGGGGGTCTGTTACTCGTCATGTTCATGCAAAAGTTATTTTGCAAGGAGTTGGTGGGAAAAGAAAACTTCTAAACAAAACGTAGAGTGGATTAGTTGTGAGGTTGATGGGAAGAAATGTTAGAGTGGCTTCCTTTGTTTTCAAACAAAAAGAAAAAGAGATTTCCCAGATCTTTTTATTCCTGTTCATGAGGTGTTGGAGAGATGTGTATTTTCTGCTCTAAACGATTGAAAGGTGTTCAAATTTTCCTTTGAATGATCGTGAAAGGAACAACTTCTGGGTTTGGACTTCGGGATGCAGTATTCCCATAAATGATTATTTGCAGAGTCGAACTCTTCAGAAAGAGTACTAATGACAAATGTTGAATTTGTAAAACAAACAAAAATTGAAATTGTGTAGAGGATGTAATACGATGGAACACGCAAGACATGCTAAGAAGTAATACTGAAAAGACGGAGGGTATACTATTTACATCCCGGTTTACCAAGATACCTAACATCGAGAAGCTCTCTTTTGCCAACACCGTCATTGAACTAACTGAGAGAGTTTGTGATCTTGGTGTTAATTTAGATAAAAGCCTATCACTGACATACCACATAAACGAGACATGTAAGAAAGCAACTGACACCATATCACCTCCACTGGTCGTATTTGCAAATATATCACCATGGAAAATCTAGATCTCAAACTGTTAGTTAATGCACTAGTGACACGTCTGGACTATTGTAATAATATCCTTTATGGTCTCCCAGACGGTCTAGAAAAGTCTATCGGATTCTGTTAACAATACAACATATCTTTCATCTTTTAAATCTGCCTTCAAAACATTCTTGTTTCGGAAAGTTTATTTGATTTATTTTACGAGGAACTGTACTTCGCTTTCAAGTCACCGAATTTTTTAAATAATTATTTCATTTATTTTATTTATTACTGCTATAAGAAACATTTAATAGGTTTTAACTAATTTATTTTTTCCTCTATAGTAATGTAAGCGCATTGCGTTTTCTAAATGAGCCCAAAAAACTCTATCATTATTATTACTATTATTATAGACAGGCATAATAGCGGTACTTATCAACATTTGAAGGCTGTGAGTTAACAGTTGTATGTTTTGATGTAACTTGTGTGCTCCATTAATAAGGTGAACTTGACTCCTTGGTTGCCTATCATGGTTGAAATCGCATGTTTGACGCAGTTACCACAGTTTCAGACAGTTTTAAAATCCCTCAAGGGGATTTTAACTCAGCCACCTCAAGGGGATTTTAACTCAGCCACCACGTTTTCGTAAGCGTAGTTGAAACCCTGGGAATGAGCATGTGTTCGAGGATAAGAGACGCCGCAAATGCTGCTGGGAGCCGTTACATAACGTCAACATGGCGGATGTAATGAGGGACTGACATTTAGCTGATAACAGCTGAAAATAATTTAGTTTCATCGCTGCAACATTGCTATCTGCTCAGCGAAAGCTGCTTCGAAAACATTTTTCAGTGTTTTAGTTCTCAGTGGATTGCCTTAACCGCTACTTCTCCGATAGTGGCATGTTTTCTGTATTCACTCACTCGACAAGGCGGGTTGTCACTTGCCGTTCGCATTTGGGTATTCAAGGTGCCTATGCCGCTAGGAAAGCATGCTATAGCGATGGAATGAAATTTAACGAAGGACCTTTACAGTTGTACAAGTCACATTTAGAAAGAAAAGTTCTGAAGCCCGACGACTCACAGCTGAAAGTGGTGTGCAATCTTCAAAGCCTGTTTGAACGACTCAAAGATTATGATTCCCAAAAGCAATCAAGTAAGTCAATTGCTCAAAGTTATGTTGGTTTTATCGTTTGTTAGCCAGAAGAGGAAGATTATCGAATGAATGACTGGTCTTCTTGGACTTTAATTGTTTGTTACATGATTCATGCAATTGTTTGTTACATAACTAATGTAACTGAAAAAGATTCATAAAATCCTACTAGTTCCAAGGAGAGTAGTTTTTCGTTTAGTGGGTATACTGAATTGTCCGCTGAATTGTCTGCTAAGGTTATCTTACAGCCATCGTAATTATTTTTAATTTTATTGGAATTATATTGGATATTGAGATTATAACTGTTATTGTTTTCGTTGTCATCATTGTTATTTTTTTCATTTGACAATAATTTTTCAATGTTTGACAGGTTTACATTAGTTTTGTGGTTGGGCTTGTATTTTTTGTTACCAAAAATAGCTTTTGCCCAAAAAAGTGCACAACTTCTTTCTCAAATGGCTCTTAAAGTGTTACTTCTCATTTGTTTTTGACACTCAATGCTGTTTTGCCAATCCTTTTAACCTTACTGAAATATACATTTTGTTTGTATTTGTCTGTATTGCAGTTATAATGCAACATTGAACTATCAAATGTTTGCTATTGTACCTACATGTTTGATTAAGAATGACAGTTGTTAAAAACATGACTGCATGGTTATTAAAATAACATCAATTAAAATTGCCATTTAGTGGCAGAGGAACATAAAGTGGGCAAAGGGGTATCATAAATCAAATTGCAAGAGAAACTTGGTATTGTTTGGTATGAGAAAAGATGTAAAGAATACTTAACTTGTGATGGGTATGAGTCCTTTCCAAGAAGGGTGGCTTTGTTAAAAAAAATTGAAATATCCTTGACCTACATTAGCTGTGACTACATGTCATAAGGTAGTTTTTTTTAAGTGTTTAATTTCTTGTTCACTTAATTTCCTTTCAGAAATTATTGTTTTTATGATTTCTCTTTCCTAATTCCATTAAGTTAAGGATGATCAATAATTTTTTTTCACTCAAATGAAAATATCTCTTCAACCCATTTCTTCTCTGTGTGTTAAAACCAGCCTGACATATTCGAAAAGGTCTGTGAGTATCAACTCAAGACAGGGAAATTGACTGAAACAGCAAGAACATCAAAATAAGTAAAGTTTTTAGAATATAGAAATACATAAGCTATCATGCTTGAATTCACCTTTTTCTTTCTATCAGGTAATCAACTGCTCACACCTCAAGGACTCTATCTTTACGGTGGGGTGGGTAGTGGCAAAACAATGTTAATGGACATATTCTATGACAGCATACAAGTTCCAAACAAGAAGCGTGTGCATTTTTACTCCTTCATGCTTCAGTTGTATTCTGCCATTAATCGGTGGAACCTTTGTTGTCCAAGTGATGAGCTAACCTTTGATACAACTCCAGTGGAGTCCATTGCCTCTGAGCTGGCTGGAGAGGCTTGGTTGCTCTGCTTTGATGAAATGCAGCTGGCAGACTTCGCCTCCACCCGGCTTTTGGAAGGAGTCTTTCGTAAAATGTTGGAAAATGGAACAGTTATAGTAACAACATCTAACAGGTCAGATCACAGTTCACTTCTAGTATCTAACTTTCACCAATGACATGGGCACAGCAATTCCTCAAGATGTTTTCTTTGCTTTTTCTCAAATTACTGAGCTCTGATTCTTTCAGTCAGACCTGATCCAAAGAATCCATTTATCTGTTAGTTTTTCATTGGTTCTTTGGTCAGTTCTTCTTTCCGTCCATCTGTCTGTCAATTCTTTGACAGGTCAACTCAGTCTTTTGCCTGAAGGGACATCTATGAAACATAGGGTATAAATTCCTTGATAGGGGTATATGAAGGTTAAGTGTATTCACTTAAACTGCAGGCAGCCTGGGTTTTGTGGTTTACACTAACTCCTCAACATTTAAATTCAGCAAACTCATGGTATGAATAAACAAATTTGTCAGCTAGAGGGTGTTGTCCTGATACAGCAAAATGGTTTCTTCACCATGGTAGAACTACTAGTCAGTTTTAAAGGCTCTTGATCTACTCTGACGATTTTGTCTTTCTAAATTTTTGTTTCCAGATCTCCCAATGAACTTGGGGCTTCATCCTTTGGACGCGAAAGGGAGGCTCTAGATTCATTGACGTCATTAGTCGCTTTACTCACTGAGCGTTGTGAATTGGTTGCCATGAATTCTGAAAGTGATTATCGAACCAATCAGAAACGCGGAAAGGACAATTATTTTACTCCTCTAACCAAACACACAGAAAAAGTATTCGACGAAGCCTTTTGTGAAGCAGTGGGGCGTGGTCGGCGGCTAACATCGGTTTCGCTTCCCGTGTATGGTCGGAAGGTCATCGTCCCCATCGCTTCGGAAAATGGCATTGCTAGGTTCACTTTCAACGAGCTGTGCAGGTCTCCTCTAGGGCCAGCCGACTATATTACGATCTGCAATGCCTTTCACACGGTATTCTTGGAGGACATACCGCAGATGAGCATCTACCAAAAGAACGAAGCTAGGCGCTTTCTTAGTTTTGTCGATGCAGCTTATGAAAGTAAAGTGCAACTTTTCTGCACTGCGGCCAGCTCACCTGATGAGTTGTTTCAATTGATCCCCAGCGATGACCCACTACAAGAAGACAAGATGCACATGGAAATGATGGGCGAGATGGCTTATGATCTTGAGCTCACCCAGCTCGAACTGAGTTCGCTCGGAATATTGACCGGCGAGGAGGAAATCTTCTCATTCAAGCGTTGCATTTCACGTCTGAAGGAAATGCAAAGCGAGCTGTATCAGTGTCAGAAACACCGTCTCCAAGCCTTCTCTCCTTATCTTGGTTCTTTTGAAGAACGTCTGCAATCGGAAAATCGTCGCCGGGAGCGCGAACACAAGCGTCGAATGAAAATGCTGGAGGCCTCGGGGGATGGCAGTGAAGCTCTCCGAGAATTACCACTGACACCTTTGACGACAGGCTCCTCCGACTGGGCAGACGAAGCGAGTTACGTCACTTGGAGCAATG